CAAATGACATGTCCACTCTTTCTCTTTCTACCTTATACGGGATTCTGCTTAACCATGAGCAATCTCGTCAACTGAAAATAAATCTTGTAAAAAAATCCAGGGAAATGAAAAGCTCTCCTTTAGTTTTGATCTCTGAAGCTTCTTCAGTTGAAACTTCTACTCCTTTTGTTTCTTCTCTACCTCCCGTGGTCATCACGGAGATAGATTCTTCTGAGGACATTCCAGAATCTGATTTAACAGATTTTGATGAGTCCCTAACACTCCTGACTAAGTCATTTAGAAGGTTCGCCAACAAAAGCAACTTCCATAGATCTCCTCAGCTATCCTTAAGGGAGAAGCCAAAGTATGAAAGAATAGACAACGCTTCAGATGTCTGCTACAACTGTCACCGGCCCAGACATTTTGCAGGTGAATGCAAATCAAAGAAGACTGCGACTCCATCTTCTAAAGCTTTCTCCTCCTTCAGAACCAAAGATGAAAAATACTTAAAACTGTAGGAGAAATACAAGAAGATGAAGAACAACCAGCGAAAGGCTAAAGGCCTTATTGCTGAAGAGCATGACTGGGCTGAATCATCTAATGAATCATCTTCAGATGAAGAGGATAAAGCCTATGTCTGCTTGATGGCCATTGATGCTGATGAAGGATCTTCTAAAGCATCTACCTCCTATGAGCCATCTTCTTTTACTCAAGTATGTATTCTGAATGAACCTTCTTCTAGTCTTTCTTCACTAGATACGCTGACGGTTGACCTTTACAATGCCCTCAATGGCAAATCAAAAGCTGAGATGCTTAATGTTGATCTTCAAGAGCAATTGAAGATTTGTCATTTTAAGATCAAAGAACTGACCTCTTTTGATGAAATCTTAAAGATCAGGTTATTGTAAACCAAGCCATCACTGTTGAACGTGAGAAAGCTGTTGCTGAGCGCGAGCGAGCAATCGCTAAACTCAAGGCTGAGAAAGCTACCATTAAAGGTTGGTGCAAAGCTTCCCTCAAGGCCTCTGAGATCATTAACGCTCAGATCTCGACCAAGAATACGACTGGTCTAGAATTCTTCTATGATCAGGAAGAATGTGTTAAAGACAGGTCCATGCTTAAATTTGGTACCTTTGTCTCGTCTATTCCTAACACTTCTTCCTCTCAGTCCTCTTCTTTTACTTAGAGTCATCTTGAAGGAACTTCTTTGAGTTCTGGGTGCAAAAACAAAGATAAATCCACTGTCACAGGCTCATAACATCCCTTTCTAAGAAGCCTAACAAGTCTAATAGATCTAAATCTATTCCTTCAACTTGTAAAACTTCTTCTTCTTCTTCTTCTTCTTCTTCTTCTTCTTCTTCAGGGACTAGGAAATCTGAATCGCATCAGAAATCTAAGTCACAGCTTAAGGTGAACTTTTCACCTAAGGAATCCATTCCCTCAAAGGTTTCTCCAAGAACCAATGAGAAGGGAATCCTTGGAGCTGGTCCCACTTCTAGTCTGATACTTCCTGGCCCTAAAGCTACTCCTAGTTTTAGGAAGTGTAAACACTGTGGTGAAAGAACACATGTTGCTAGTAAGTGTCCTTTTATCGTCAAAGCTGGTTCACCAGTTTTGAGCAAGAAAGTAACCAAAGCTGAGAAATCAACTAAAGTGAAATCGTCCACAAAGGTTGCACCTGCAGTCAAGGTGAAGAAAACCGTTGAAGCCTTTTCTTCAGGCTCAGTGAAGACAACTCTTGCTGAAATATCTTCAGCATCAGACGTTGTAATCCCTACCACTGAAGTCTCTTCGACAGACTCAGTGAAGACTTCCGCTTAAACTACCTTGGTAGTATGAAGGGTTGTTCCTCTTTCCATTCAAAGCTCTTCAAGTTTAATGATGCCATCTTCTGATAATGATTCGTCAATATCAAATGATGAAGCCTCTAACAAAGCTGGACCCAATTAGCTGAGTACCAATAGCATTTCTTATTTTGTTTCCTTGTTCAGGATGTCAAAGGCATATGGTATTTGGACAGTGGATGTTCAAGACATATGACTGGAGATATATCTCTTCTGTTTCACTTCAAGGAAGAAAGAGGACCTTTCGTAACCTTCGGTGGAAATGGAAAAGGATATACTAAAGGATTTGGTATATTATCTAACGGTACAACAACTTACAAACGCGTTGCATGCGTTGAAGGACTGAAGCACAATCTTCTTAGCATCAGCTAACTGTGAGATAAAGATTATACAGTTAAATTCTTCAAGAATTCTTGTCATGTTCTCGATAAAGATGATAAGGTTGCTCTAACCGGTTCTCGTCTCGAGAATGTTTATATCATCAACATGAATTCTCCTCTCACTGAGAATAATTGCTTCTTTTCTAAGGCCTCATCAGATATTAACTGGTTATGGCACAAACGGCTATCTCATCTCAACTTCAAGACACTCAGTGAGCTGTCAAGAAATGATCTTGTCACAGGTCTTCCTCAACACTCGTTTGCAAAGGAATCTCTTTGCTCAACCTGTGAAAAAGGAAAACATACAAGAGCTAGTTTCAAGTTGAAACAAATATCTTCAGTGACCGTGCTTCTTCAGCTATTGCACATGGATCTCTTTGGTCCAGTCAACGTGCAATCCTTAGCTGGAGAGAAGTTCACACTTGTCATTGTTGATGAGTATGCCAGGTATACTTGGGTATTCTTT